ATAATGATCTTTAAAATAGCATCATATGACCCCTTTAAAATAATATACAACTGTTCACCTCTGCCATGCCTTCCACTGGTCTCTGGTTGTCTACCTGTAAAATGCCATTTTTTGCCGTTCGAGAGACACGCAACTCGTGCCACACCTCCATAGCGATGGCCTCTTCACTCCTGACAACAGAAGCAAAGATATTGTGTCCGGTCCTTACGAAATATTTAACAGCTGTGGAGTCACAGTTATCTACTATCTGTTTTGCAACCTGATAACTGTGGCACCCGAGCCGCAGTCGAAGCGAAACTCCACATATCCGCCCACCAGGCTGATTGACAGGAAGTCACGACTGGCCGCATCATTGGTGTAGAGCAGCGTGCCATCAGGATTGGTCGGCTGGAAGGTCATCTCGAACTCCATGAAGGACAGGTAGTTGTGGGATGGCTGAGGCCAGGGGGCGCTGGAGTACGAGTACATGCTCTCGTTGAACTGGGGTAGAGACAACAGGAAACCTGAAACAAGAGGAATTAGCCATAGAATTGAAGAAATATGAAGTCAGGTAATGACACACATTCATGTTGGAACCTGAAAATAACTGTGCAACTGCTCTTCTTTCGGACCTAGTCACACTTTTGCACTTCTTTATCACACATTTTTACAACAAATATGTTTAAAAATGTTGACGGGTAACTGCAGATTGTATTTATTATTACTGCTACTACATTTGTTCATGAGTGTTAAATGCTGTATGTTATGTCTTGTAAGATATACATGTTCATGTTTTTGCACTGAGGTGTTTCGGAGAAACTGTGTGACACTTGTTATTTTTGAAAACGAATAGCACTTAATTATATTGAATGTGCACTTATGGTGCACTTCAAATTTTACTTTAAAAGTATATATTTTTTTAAACTGTACTTGCAGAAAATATAACATTAGTTAAAAGTAAACTTTGTTTCTTAACAGAAGTACACTTAAAAATGGATTTTGTAATAATGCCAAATTACATGTTTTACTAAAAAATATATTTTAAATCATTGTTTTAATAATCTTTTGTTGTACTTTACAGAAGTACACTTATTTTGATGTGTTAACATACTAAAGCACATACTTGAGAGAGTATCTTGAGTAATCAAAGAGTACTTGATTATAATTTTAACTGTAGTGTTTTATTTGATATTACATTTAAATTAAACATTTTAAAAGTACTACATTGCAAATTCATCATTACAAATGTGTAATTATAGATATATTTAAATACATGAGATACAAGTTTCAATAGAAATAACATTAAAGTATATTTTAGTTTACCATAAATGCTTTTCAGTACATTTGGCAGTACACTTTAACCATATTTCAAAGAGAACAGAAGTAATTATGAAATTACATTTATAGATGTACTTATAAGTCCACTTTTATTTATTTATTTATACTTTTATTCAGCAGGAATACATGAAATTGATCAAAAGTGACAGAAAATGTGTTTATAATGTTACAAAAGATTTCTTTCTCAAAGAAATGCTGCTTTTTGAACTTTCTATTCATCAAAGAACCCTGAAAAAAAATCATGTATCACCGTTTACACAAAAATATTGTGCAGCACAACTGTTTTCAACATTAATAATAAGAATAAGAAATGTTTCTTGAGCATCAAATCAGCATATTATTATGATTCCTGTACTTATAATATGACATTTAAAGATGCACTTAAGTCCTACTTAAGTGGGTAAAACAGCACTCTTAAATATAAATTAAAACGAGAACACATTTTCATTTAATTGTCAAAAATATTAAATTAAGTGTCCAAACGCATTACACGCATTCTTTCATAAGGAGGGGAAAAACAATAAAAACTACTTGAATTGACAAGTTTCTAAAAATTAAAAATGTGGTGGTGCACATGCAAAAGTCACGGCACAAAGCCATGGTGTTTGTTTGTTTGTTTGTGTGTGTGTGTGTGTGTGTGTGTGTGTGAACGCCAGCGGGTGTGACTCACTCTCCTCACAGAGGAAGCCCTTATAGCCCAGAGGACACAGGCAGATGAAGCCGTCCGCAGGGTTGGCAAAGCAGATTCCTCCATTAGCACAGGTGACCTTCTCAC